CCCCCCCCCCGGCATACTCCCTACCCATGTCGTTTCCCTCGCCTCTTCCTCTAGAAAGCTAGCTCACCTGATCGTGGCAGACTTTCAAGTCCGCTACCCACTTGCGCGATATCGCAAACGGGACTTGGGGTGACGCCCCCTCCCCCCTCCCCCCCCCTCGGCCTCTTGCCGTGCGCGTTCCTTCGCGCTGTTGCTGCTGTGGTGGTGGCCACGAAGGCTCCGGCTTTTCCAGCTCGGCCAAGAGCTCTCCGCTCTCGCGAGACACGTTCACGTTGCTCTCCCTTCCAGCCCGGCCAAGGCATCACAAGGTTTCACAAGGTATCACGAAAAAAGAACGGGGCGGGGGTTGGTATACTGTCACGCAGAGCTCGTTGGTTCCTCGGCGACACTAAAATATAGGTACATATGCCTACACTATCTCTAAATCACTTCCTAGAAGGGCCTTGAAACGAAATGATGACTAAACGCTATACCTGCTGTGCACACGTAAAGGATAAGGACACATTGTAGCGTAGCTTACAACGAGAGCACCGCTCGACTCACTTCTGCCCAATGTGGTCCTTGACACAGAGCGAGCAGTAGTAGTTCGAGGCGGAGAGGTGGTAGTCCGGGAGAGGCATGCACACCGTCGACAAGATCCCCTCGTAGGCAGCCCTGGTGACCAGCTTGAACTTGGACACCGACGCCGGGTGGAGTCCCCCGTGGGGGCACAGCAGCGGCAAGTTGCTCAGGCGCTTCGTGAAAACGCACGGCGTTTCTTCCTCAACCTCCTCCGTCAGGAGAACCTCTTCGCCTTGTGAATATACCTCCAAGTTGCCGTTGTTGTCGCACGTGGCAACTGGACACGTAGTTCTCGCCACGTCGCCCTCCACCCCATCAGCATCATGACCCAAACAACCGGAATTTTCGTCCGAGCCAGGGTTACCCTCCTGCTCCGGTGCCCCCTCCTCCTCCTCCTCCTCCCCCCGCGGCACAGGCCCCCCTGTTGCCTCTTCTTCAGGGTCTCCTCTGCTGCTGTGTGCCGCCACTGCAGCGCCATCACACTCACGTGCCTCTGGTTCATCACCGGCATCAGCGGCTCCGGCGCCATCGCTGGCCTCGCCCTCCCCCGCCGCCTTGGTGGTCTCTTCCACCTCCATCATCTCGCTGCCGCCGTCGCCGCCGCCACCGCGGGCCTCCCCCCCTTCAGAGGCTGCAACACCGTCGAGCACGAGGGGGTCCCCGCCCGAGGAGCCACCTTTCGATGGAAGAGATATCGCCGTGGACGCCGCCGCCGCCGCCGCAGCAGCAGCAGCAGCAGACTCGCCATCCTGATCGGCGTGCTGCCCGACAATCCACTGCCGCAGCCACTCCGTTTCCACCCAGAAGAACTTGCTCTCGGGGATATTCCCCGGCGGCTCCTCTTGTCCCTCGTCTTCTTCGCTGTCGGCGGCGGCAGCAGCGGCGGTCGGGGATTGCGCCAAGGACGCGGCCACCGCCTGCGCGTAGTCGAGCTCCTCCTGGGTGGTTGACTCGTCCGCCTTGGCGGCCGCAGCGGCGATGGCGGAGACGGCGGCGGCTTGCCTCGCCTCGTCGTCATCGCCTCCCGCCGTGGCGTCCGATTCTTCGAGCTCCTCGTCGGAGGGGCTGGGGTGGACGTACGGGACAACTGCCTGCTGCTGCTGCTGCTGCTGCTGCTGCTGATCGTTGTCCACTGCGATGGCGGGGTGGAGGTACTGGTAAGTACATGCGGAAAACGGGTGGGGCTTGTAGACTACGGCCTATAAAGGCTTTTCCGGATGTAGTATGATGCCCAAGGGAGGCAGGGAGCGCTAACATGGGGGGAAGCCGTCGACAGCGTCATGCAGCAAAAGCAACAATCGCATGCAACCACGCGGGACGGGACACACTGAACCGTCGTCCGCCATGCACGTTCATAAGGACGAAGGATAACACAACCATCAAAATATCAACAATTAAACCAGGCCGACAACAAGAAGCGCCGCTGTCTTCGCTCTGCCATGAATCCCTGGGATTGTCGAGTCGAACCTCTCAAAGGAAACTCCCGTGCTACGGTACCGATCTCACTCGATAGCTCACGCGTGCATTCGCTACAACTTACAACGTGCGTGTTCTGATCTTGGGTTCCCACATGCGCAGCAGATGCACGGCAGCACCGTCAAAATCTCGCGCCATCTGCTCACCACCCGACACAAACAAGCCATGATGCACTCACTCCTAAAGATGTACCTACCTTCCCCCTTGGACCGATTTTCAAAGTTTCAAAGGTCGATTGCTCCACAACCAAGATTTATCTGTACCGTACCGTGTACCATACCGTGGTATTCCGTAATAGGCGGAGAGATGACACCCCGTCCCAGAACGATGTTCAAAGCTCGATTACTCCACAACCAAGAATATGCCAAAACCAAAGAAGGCGGTTTCGGAAACATGTCGTCGAGGGCCTTCCGTAGAGATTTTGGACTCTTCCGCCACCCCTTGGTTTTTCGAGCAATTGGGGCCTTGAAAGGCGGTCTAGGGTGGGTGCCACCTTACGGTATTTCGACAACGTTCCTCACGAAAAAATGACCTCTTCGCGTCGCTAAACATCTCCGAACCCCGGCGACACACAGCCAGTCAGCTAACCCACCTCCTACATCCTCGTCGCCCCCCCCGGCGGCGGCGCCGGTGGTTCCTTCGTCCGCGGTGCACGAGTCAGCCCTCGAGCGTCGCCTCGCCCTCTTCGCTGCCGGCCCGTTTCCCGGCTCTTCCTGGCCCTTGCCGTCGTCGGCCTTATCCGCCTCCTCTTCTTCCTCCTCCTCCTCCTCGTCCTCTTCCTCTTCCTCCTCTCCAAACCCCCCGTTGTTTTCCTCGTTGATCACTATGGCCTGCGCGGGTCCCTTCCCCTTGCCTGCTCCCGCCAAGGAAGCAATAACAAACCCGCGGTGGGGGAGGGTAGATAGGCTTGGGTTTCGTGGTTATTGGTGCTGGTGTATTTGCCTAAGAGCGCAAACGTAACGGCTATTAAGGGAATGCAATCAGCTCGTCGGGTCTCGCGGGAGTACCCTAGTTTCTTTGCCTGCCCATGTGCTATCGTCGCTCGTAGCTGCTGAGCTCCGATCCGCGGAGTGAGTTCCGATCCGTCTTGCTACTAAACAATTCCCGTCCATCGGCCCCCTCGCCCTCACTTCCGCGGTCCTCACCAACAAAGTTCCAGCAGGGCCTTCACTCCATGTACCACTCTCACTCAAGTGGTCCAGGTTTTTACTTTGATGGGCCACGTCTTGGGGAATAGGGTATAGGGTATGGGGTATACGAAACCACGCAGCAGTGCAGTGTACTCCGCCGAGACTCGAACACGCAACCTCAACCGCTGCGAGATTTGCAAATATAACGAGGTATAGGCTGCTCTGTGAGGGCGTACTTACCGTAGACGACACAAGATAAACGCCGGGGCTATCGGCATATGTCACCGGCGGTGTGGCTGCAGAACACAACCCACCAACCACGGAATACTACAGACGTACGACAGCTCCCGCATTCTAGCAGTCGCTTTTGGAGCTGAAGGACATGGCGTTCTGTGCAGCAAGCACGCGACTAGAGAGGGTAGCAATAGCAATAGCAATAAGCGGCGGGCCTTACCCTTGCGTCCGGCGGGGGGTGCGGGCTTGAGGGGCGGGCCGAAAATTCTGGCGTAGAGCTCCCGCCTGTCTTGCATGTGCCTGTCTAGTAAAAGCTTCTCACGGTCGTATCTGTCCACGTTCGCAAGCAACGCCTCGTTCGATGCTTTCACAGCCGCCTGCTCAGTCAACGGCCGGAGGAATCGGTCAACACAGCAAACATGTAACCGGTCGTTCGTACGGTGTCAGAGAAACGCCACCGGTGCCATGCCACGCTACACAGCAAACATGTAACGGGTTCGTTCGCACGGTGTCAGAGAAGCACCACGTGTGGTGTCACATCACATCAGACAAGCGTCAACACTCCCCCGCCATGTAAGAGGCAACGGACTGCGATCGATGTCACCGACACGACCGATAGAAAGAAAGAAAGCGCGGAGAAGCTCACCAGCACATCCTCCGGCAGCTTCTCGGCGTCTCGTTCGGCACTGCTGGGCCCCCACGCAACCCCTCGCTTGACGTAGATCAACATGTACGCGTCCTCGGAGCCGCGTGGCTTCTTCAGCCCCGCCTGCCCGCCCTTTCCACTGCCGCCACTACCGTCGTCACCGCCGCCCCTGCCACCACCGCACTGGTCTCCATCTTCCACGGTAACGCCGGTAACTTTGCTTTCGATCACCTCGGTTTCTTCTCTCTCGTCGTCCGCATCGGCCGAAACGCCTGCATCATCTTCACGAGCCCCCCCCCCCCCGCTAACGAGCGCCGAAGCATCCGGTGCCTGCCCCGCTCCGTTTTCCAGCCGCTCCGCCTTGGCATCATCGCCCCCGCCAGCGCCGCCACTGCCCTGGCGCGGGCCTTGCCTCGAGCCACGGGTGGTGCCTCCCGCAAGGGCGATGACGTCATCGGGGGTTTCGCATAGTTTTTCTTCTTCTTGTTCTTCGCTTTTGTTTTTTTTTATTCTGGCCAACGCTGCCACCGCCGTTCGTGCCTCCGCATCTCCTCGCCTTCGTCTCACTGGGGTTGGTGCAGGTGTTGAAGATGCCTTTGTCTGACTGTGGCCTCCTTTCGAGCCTGTTCCCTCACCGCCGCCGTTGGTCTTGCGGCTACTCCGAGCGAAGTGCGCGGAGAAAGCCTCGTCCTGCAGAACATTTGAGGCGTGTTCGTTCAGGATTACAACCATTTCCGGTCGGCAGGCATACTACACTGGGGTGGGGCGTGGGAGGGTGCATGGCTTGGTCGTGAGACCATCGGCCGTGCGATGAGTTCCTGTGCGAAACCTAGAAATTTTCCTCGCGGTTCGTACAGGCTGCACTGGCGTGAAATAGCAGCTCGTATACCAGTCCTGCGCTTCCTGCTGCAATCGTTATATCTACGTTAACCGAAGTCGTTACTGGTTGCCACGAGCGGAAGTGCCGACTGTCTACCCAGATATTGAAGCCTTGCATGTCTGTGCGCATGGTCTATCGCCACGCTCTGCGTGTGATTCTCGTTGTGAGGGGGGCCGGGGTGCTACCTCCAACCTAGGAGTAGAACAAGGTGCGGGGTGGCTTACATCCTCGTTCCCGCTGTTGGCCTTCCGATCACCGTCCCCGTCTTGCGCTGCATCTCCGGCCGTGGTGACCGCAGGCGCGGCCGCCGCCCCAGCCGCCGCCTCAGGCATAGCAGGAGAATGAGGCGGACGTGATGCCGGACGAAACGCTGCCGCCGCTGCCGCCGCCGCTGCCGGCGCCGGCGCCGTCGCCGAGCCAAGCGAAGAAAAAGCTTGCATGACAACACAGCTCGACGACCCGCGGGAGGCAGCGGCGGCGGCGGCGGCGGGAGCAGCGGCGGGAACGGCGGCAGCGGCGGCGGCTGTCGAATACGGCTGCAGAGGGGATGGTGACGAAACCTTGAAGCCCCCGTCCAGCCTGGCCGCCTTCAGCCGCAACCAGACTGGGTCATCAGCGCTGGCCACAGCAACGCCGTCCTCCCGACGCTTGCACTCGTCGCACGCCCACGAGCCGTCCCCGGCGCCGGCGCCGGCGCCGCCTGTGGCGCCTGCTGCGCCGGGCGAGGCCTCCCGCCTCTTCCGGCGGCAGTGGGCGTGCGTATGCAGGCCGCAGCCAGGGCACCTCTTGCTGTCGCTGCCCATCGTCTTCTCGCCCGGCAGGCGGTTGTCGCCCAGGCAGTTCGGGCACCACGGCTGGTTCCCCCGCAACTGGGACGGCGCGGCGCCCCCCTTGCTTCGGAGAGACTCGTGGAGGTGGGTGTCGTCAGGCCCGCGCTCGCCGCCCGGGCAGCGCGGACAAATCCAGTCCGGGGGCGGGAAGTGCCTCTTGGCGCGGTCGTAGCCGGCACAGCGGCCGTGGAAGAGCTTGCCGCACGCCCGACAGCAAAAGCTTGGGTGTCGACCGAGGTCTGACTTGCAAGCTCCGCAGGTGTTGCTATTGGTGCTTCTAGCGCGGCTGCTGCTGCTGCTGCTGCTGCTGCTGCTGCTGCTGCTGCTGCTGCTGCCGCCCTTGGCGAGAATCTTCTTGTTAACGCTGCTGCCGGCTGCTGCAGCTTGCTCTGCTACTGTTGCTGCTGCCGCAGTTGCACCCTTGGCAGCGTCACCGCTTGACGTGACCGATCCAATACTGAGCCCTGGGCGGGCGGCCTGGCAAAGGCGAAGGAAGGCCAACATAGACGAGCCGGCACACACCGTAAATGATTTGAGACATCACATCTCAACCGCCTCACCCTACAGCGTAGGGCTGCCTATTGGACGGGGGGGGGCGTCCATGTGCGCTCCTTGCCACGACGATATTTGCAAGGATACTAGATACTTCGGATCACACACAAGCAGACTAGACACGCTCTTGCGCGTCTCAGGAGAATGGAACCACTGGCCGTCACAAACTCGAGCAACCTTCACCCCTGAGAGCAATGCTGCGACATTTCGACAGTTAGTTGGGGACCAAACGGCGGCTGCCGTGCTTGAAGGAAGGGAAGAAACGCAACGAACTCGAAGCCGGGCACAAAGGACAACAATTGCCACGCAGTGCCTCCCGACTAGATTGAAACAAAGCAAACCATACTCGAAGTATAGCTGTAGCAGCCGGGACCTCGCAAGACCTACTCCTACTCCTACTCCTAGCTCCGAGGATCAACGCCCGCCGAAAGCTAACCTATAACTTTGACAATTGTACACCAAAGCCGGCAACACGCCCTACGTAGAATAAATACCTCTTGCCCGTTGTCCAGCATCACGTCGTCGTCGTCTTCCTCTTCTTCTCCCACCTTGCTTCGCTTGCCGCGCCGTCTCCCCGCCGCCGCGCTCCCTCTCGCGTGCCCTCTCGCGTGCGCCTTACGTTTGCCCTTGTTGGCGGTGGAATTCTTTGCCTGGACAGGGTTCTTGGCATCTCCATCACTGGTATCACTGTCACCTTCCTCAGCTTGGTGTTGATCTTCGACTTGCTTCCAACCACCATCGGAGTCGTCAGTCTGAGTTGTGCGTTACAACACGTTCGTACCGACAGCACTTTCGCCATTTTATTTTTCTTAACTACAACACAATAAACCCACCTCTATCGATAGACAAGGGTCTCTTCTGTTGTTAGGTCTCACGACGGAATCGGGATTACGGGGAGATGGTAACGCATGGGGTCGCTGAATGGACGTCGTCGCGTGCACAACAATGTACCATACCAAAAACCTACTACTCCATATGCTCTTACAACAAAGGAAGGCCACAGCAAGGTACATTATGCGCCCTGCCTGTCGCATCGAGAGTCCATCAAAACCAGGCATTGCATGACGTTTCCTATATAGCTTGCAGATGCTCGCGGGTGAACCAACAACAGCTAATCCTCGCCGCAAGTCCACCTAACCTCACACCGAGGTCGCTCGCTGCCTGCATCTCATCCGACACCGCCAACAACAATATCCGCGTTTCACCTCTCCCTCGTATACCCCACGCACCTCTCGCAAGCACTCCGCATCTGCCTCTGACTCCGCGGCAGCTGCATCGTCGCCACTAGAACCTTTGCCTGCAGCTGCTGCTGCTGCTGCTGCTGCCTTCTTGAGTGTCCCGCGGCCACCGTTTCCCTTTCCGCGTGCCCCCCTGCCCCTGCTGGCTGTACCGCCACCGCCTCCGATAACGGGTCCATGGGAGTTCGCCCCCAGAATGTGTCGGACTTTTTCGTCGTCGAATAGGGTCCATAGGCCCGATTCAGAATCATGCACCTAAAACAAAATTTGAAGACAATAATAAAAAAAAACGCAACAAAATAAATGAAAAAGAAGGGAAACAACGTTGGGATCGCCGGTTACGAGTGATCGTCTTCCCTGGCGCCAGTGCAGCATGAAACCTAACGAACAGCAGAGAGAGGAGAGAGAGGAGAGAGAGGAGAGAGAGGAGAGAGAGGAGCACAACTACGAAGTACGAAACGAAACAAGAGAGGAAAGAGGTAACAAGCGACACCACGCCGCGCAATCAGACAGACGCTATCGAACCAAAAAAAACACCATGCCACAACCACACACAACAATGACAACACCCCGATGTTGCAACGAAACCTACATGCTGCAACCACACACATCAACAACGAACACCTCAGTATTGAAACCACACACAGCACCTCCATATTGTTGCTGCCACACACAGCAACCACGCCTCCATATTGCAACCGCACACAAGTACAACACCAAGAAGCGAGAGGCGTTTGCCCACCTCACCTCTGCCACGATGTGCCCGGAGTGGACGTTGCTCCCCTTGTGGTACAGCACGCATCGCAGCTCGTACACGTACTCCTCATCGTCGTCACCGTTGCTCCCCTTCCCCCCCTTGGGAGACACGGCTTTTCCTCTTTCTCCCCCCCCTTCTTTAGACCCGTCGCCTCGTGGACTGACGAAAGACAGCGGAAGCGGTTTGCAAAAACAAAAAAAATGTGCGTGAAAGGTCGGTGGAATTAAAAAAGCGTGGCAGTTGCGTGGCAGTAAACCAATGAGTGCAAGCGACGGGGTGGTAATCGGATTTTGGTACAAGTTTCACGCTCTGTATTTTCGTGCCTTGCGTTGATTGCCCTTGGCGTTTACATGAAAAAAACACAGGGCTTACCCGAGTCGCGGACCCATGTCCAGCGTCGGCGGGAGCGAAATGACTGCCTTGATCTTCTTCTTGGCCATGGTCTTCAAGTCGTACTCGTATCGAACCAGCTGCAGCGACAGCACCGGGGGAAGGCGCACAAGCTCCGTCATCGTCTCGGCGTCCTGCTTCTTGCCGCACTTCTCGCAGTTGTACTGCAAGGACGGACACCAACATGACGTGCAGTGCAGCAGCACAATAGCGACAGACGACATGAAGCAAGGAGAGAGAGAGAGAGAGAGAGAGAGTGAAAACAAAAGTCCTGCTTGTTGCCGCACTTGTCGTGATTGTACTGGAAGGAGGGGCACCAACACGAGGTGTAGCGACAGATGACATCAAGTAAGGAGAGAGAGACACAGCGAGAGAGAGAGAGAGAGAGAGAGAGAGAGAGAGAGAGAGAGAGAGAGAGAAGACAAACAGGCGGCGGTGGTGTACGGGGAGTGAAAGCAGCGGCGGGACAAAGAAATAACTTTCCAACCAAGTGAAACAAAGGGGAGAAACACGCATACGGCGCGCGGTGCGCATACTCCTTGACATAAGTTCGAAAGTAGTAGATGGTACAAGCTGGTTCGAGGAAATGGATAAAAAGGACATCCAACTTGAAAACTTCACGCCGTTTTTAGGAGTTTAACTCTGAAACTTTGCACCCATGTATATTGGAATAGTACGAAACGCTGTGTGGAGGGGCCTTTTTCATTTTTCCCCCTGTCGCCGGAGCTCCCCCCCGGTGTTTACCATCGGGGTTGGGTTTTCGTCGCTTGGCAACGACGTTGTAAAACAAGCCGCCCCCCCCG